GTCATTCATTGGACCCATCTGGAAGGATGAGTAAACTCAACAACAAACAGTATTGGTTCATTCTTGTTCACCGAAATCTTGTACACTGGATCAAGGCATTCAAGGGCAGTTTCAGTGTGCCTTTACACCAGGTAAGCAGGTACACAACCATTGCAGAGGCCCTGAACCAACGTACAGCAATATAACTCCACCATCAACACATTCATAAAGTACACTTAACATAAAAAGAACAAAAATCATTTAAAAGAAGTGGGATACAAAGGAAGAGTGTATCTAATAATCACTGAGCAATCGAGAAAGATTAAAGGGCTGACTGAAAAATGTGTTTAAAAGGTATGTTATCTGAAAAAACATGGAGAGGTGGACAGAGCCTAGAAAATAGTTGTCCTGCACCAACTTTGCGCCTTAGTCTCATCAAATTCCAGATTTGATTTAAAATATGAAATAAATTCCAAAATTCTGCACTATTATACTTCCAGTTTATACTTTTTTCCATGTGCATCTATTTAGAATTGGAGCAAGGAATAGTTCTGGGCAAAGGAATTTGAATTGCATTTTTCTTATGTGTATAAAACTACTAATTGCATTCATGAAGGTAAATTAATTTTACACTGCATTGATTATAGTGTTTCACCGATGCAATGGGAGCAGAAGTGAATTCTGACCTGTCCATAACAAGAGACATTTGCATACTATCTGCCAACGTATGACAACTGCCTTGATTTACAATGGATCAACAGATTACAGCTTTGACCACAGCAGAAAGAAGTGTAGCTCTCTTGTTTGACATTTCTCATGATATACAAAATCACTATTCGTAAACAGTACATGTAGCCATGGTGGCTTAGTTGTAATGTTACTGAATTAGCATTCCAGAGACCTCGGCTAGTATTCTTGGTAGAAAGCAGTTGGTAGCATTTAAATTCAATTATTTAATACACCTGGAATTAAAGGTTCTTCTTAGTAATGGTGATCATGCATATTGCAAAAAAATGAACTTGTTCACTAGATTAGGGAAGGACATCTGATGGCCCGATTTGGTTTGGGCCTCATGTGACTCCAGACCCACAGTTGTAATTGACTCTCAACTGCCCATTGAAGTAGCCTAGCAAGCCATTGAGTTCTCACAGAATGTGGCAGAAAAGTCAAAGAAAAGGAAAAATACTGGATGGACCACCAGTATTGTCCTGGACAACAGAACAGGCAGTGGTGATTCAGCTCACTTGACCTGTAAATCCCAAAATAAAACAAAAAACCACAGATGCTGGAGATCTGAAACAAAAACAGAAATTTCTGGAGAAACTGAGCAGGTCTGGCACTGTCAGTGGCATTCTGATGAAGAGCCACTGCACTTAAAACATTGACTCTGTTTTCTTTCCAAAGATGCTGTCAGACCTGCTCCAGAAATGTCTGTTTATGGCCTTTAAATCCTCCTTGTTAACATCTGGCTTGTATCAAAATTATTGAGCCATAGAGTTGTACACCACATAACCAGACCCTTCGGTCCAACTCGTCCATGCCGACCAGATGTCCTAAATTAATTTCGTCCCATTGGCCACCATTTGGCCCATATTCCTCTAAATCTTCCTATTCTTGAACCCATCCAGATGCCTTTTAAATGCTGTAATGCTACCAGTCTCCATCACTTCCTCTGGCAGCTCATTCCATACCTGCATCACCCTCTGTGTGAAAAAGTTGCCCCTTAGGTCCCTTTTATATCTTTCCCCTCTCACCTCAAACCTATGACCTCTAGTTTTGGATTCCCCTATCCTTGGAAAAAGACCTTGTCTCTTCACCCTATCTATGCACCTCATGATTTTATAAGCCTCTATAACGTCACCCCTCAGCCTCAGATGCTCCAGCCTATAGGCCTAAGCCTATTCAGCATCTCCCTATTGCTCAAACCCTCCAACTCGGCAACATCCTGGTAAACCTTGTCTGCACCCTTTCAAGTCTAACAACATCTTTCCTTTAGCAGGGAGACCAGTATTGAACGCAGTATTCTAAAAGCGGCCTAACCAACGTCCTGCATAGCTGCAACATGACATCCCAACTCCTATACTCAATGACTGACCAATAAAAGCAGGTATACCAAATGCCTTCATAACTACCCTGTCTATCAGAAGATTTATCCAACAGATCAGTCAAGCAACAGTCTGACACAATAGTTCCCTCAGCATAATTCCTTACAGCTTGTCACAAACACCTCCATCACAATTCTTGTCTATATTCCGTCCCACCTGCAGCGCAGTGGCATGCTGCCAGCAGGGAGTTGCGTTGGGAGTGCTTAACATTTTACTCCAAATCCCACAAAGTCTCTGTCATCAGTTTAAACCTGAGCATAGAAACCTCCTATTGATTACCACCTACCACTCTCCCTCAACCATTGAATCACTACTCCTCCATGTTGACCACCACTTGGAAGAAGCATTGAGGGTAGCAAATTCACAGAATGTACCAAGGGTGGCTGAGTAGCACCACTGCTGACTTTATCTGCCAGGCTGGGACTGCAGTAAGTGATGAGCAAACCAAAAAGAAGGAAAGACCTACTTGAACTCATCCTGACTAATCTACCTATCACATACCCGCCTATACATGACAGTACTAGTAGAAGTGACAACCACAATACTTGAAGAGACAAAGCACCATCTTCACACTTGGGATACACTCCACTGTGTCGATTGCCATTGTCAGAGCTATACCGTAGGTCATCAGTAGTAGCCAATTCAGTAGACAACTATGATCTGTAATCTCATGGCTTGGTTTATCCCTCACTCTACTACTATCATAAAGCTTGGTTCAATAGGGAGTGCAGGAGAACATGCTTCAGCATTTTTAAAAATGAAGTGCAAACTGGCTACAATATAGAACTACTTGCATGGCAAACAACAGAAGCAGCATGCAATTGACAGAATAAGGGCACAACCAATGGATCAAATTAAAACTCTACAATTCTGTCACAAGCAATTGCAAACGATGATGGACTGATTAAGCAACTAACTAACAGGAGGAGTAGGTTTCTCAAATGTCCCCATCTTCAACAATGGGGAAACCTGGAACTACACTAAAAATGGAAGACTGGACAATTTGCATCCATCTTCAGCCAGAAGTGCCAAGTAGATAATACATCTGGGCCTCCAGTGCATCATAGTGCCAAGCTTTAATTAATGCTTTTTTTTATACCCAGAAGTTCTCTTACACATGACTGAACATTTTTTTCTGCTCCATCAGCAAATCACCATGGTCAAATAATTCAATTCACTCCATATGATATCACAAACAGCTGAAGGCACTGGATATTGCAAAGGTTGTCTGACCCTGAAAAACCCATAGCAGTAGTACTTGCACTCCAGATCAGCCACATCCCTAACCAAGCTCTTCCAGTGCAGCTACAATACTGTCATCTACCTGACAATGTGGACAATTGCCCAAGTATGCCCTGTCCAGTCAATTGCTGCCATCGGTCTACTCTCAAAGTGATGGAAGGTGCTTTCTACAATGCTATCAAGCACACTTACACTGCAATTATCTACCCATCAGTGCTCAGTTTAGTTTCTGACACAGCCACTTACCCAAACATGGACAAAAAAAACTGAAGTCAATAAGCAAAGTGAGATGAAGTTGAATTGTTCAATGACGACTGCATGCTGAAATTCATGACTCTTCAGATACTGATGTAGTCCATTCCTACATGCACCAGAACCTGGGCAACGTTCATGTTTGGTAAGTTTCAAGTAATATTTGCACCACATAAATGCCAGGTGATGATAATCTGAAAAAGAGAATCTAATCTTCTCCCCTTGATATGCACTGGCATTTCCATTGCTGAATTTCTCCACTATTAATATTTTGATAATTACTATTGACCAGTAACTGAATTGACCCAGTCTTATAAATACTGGGGCTACATGAGGACATTAGAGACTGGGAATTCTACCACCTGATTTCCCATAGCCCTTCCACCATTTATGAACCATATATCAAGAAAGTGATGGAATGTTCTCCACTTGGATGAATACAGCTCAATACTATTCTAGAAAAGGCAGCCTACTTGATTAGCACCCCATTCGCTAACTTAAATATTCACTCATTCCACCACTGACATATGTCGGCAGCTGTGTGTTGTATTCATGAGATGAAGTGCAGCAATTTACTTAAGCTCCTTCAACAGCACCTTCCAAATTCTACAACCTATATCTCTTTGTAGCTTTATAATCCTCCTCACAGCTTATAGTCTCAGTTTTGCATTCATAGCATGCTTGAGTACATTACCCCACAACTCTTTAACTAGGCCATTAATAAAGATTGTAAATAGCTGTGACCACAGCATGGATTCTTGCTGCATTGCCAAGATATTCTCCAAGAAGGAACAGCATGTTTCCATTCACAATCTCGGCTAGATGTTTAACTTCAACTTGGTATGTGAAGGCTGCCAACAACTTTGGAATTGAATACTCGCAAGTGTTGGCGTTTTGGAGGCAAAAATTTGAAAGTTCGTGAAAAAAAGAAGATGGAATAATATGCAATTTGAAAATCAGCTTACTTTTTCTAAAGCTTTAAATTAGAAAAACATTTACTGCACAATTTTCCTACTGTTTACAAGTTGGGAAATTGTTTAATGCACAATGGCTTTGTGCAGTTGTTTGTGACTTGAACAAAAAAAAAGTGTTACAGCTTTCCTGCTCCTCTGATGCTGCCTGGCCTGCTGTGTTCATCCAGCTCTACACCTTGCTCTCTCAGATTCTCCAGCATCGGCAGTTCCTACTATCTCTCAACCTTAACACTTAACCAATGTTACATAATCTGAGCCTGTACCACTGTCAACAGTGTTGAATTCAAAGGTTAGAAAGAGGAAGTTTCAATATTGACTGCAATTCAAGCTTGATGGCTTTCATGTTGAGGACGGAGGCTGTTGGGTGCAAGTGTAAAGCTCCACCCTAAAGAGTGGTTAGATAAAATTCTAAAAGTGTGGGTGGATAAATAACAATCAGATAACTATCTGAAATTTTTTAATTTTATATTTTTTTCCATTCCAGAAGCTGTATCAAAAATATGTACAGAAAACATTTAGTTCAATTCCAATTAATTTTCTGCATTACAATGTACCACTAAAGTAAAGGCTAAAGGAATTACTTCACACAGGCCAACAAGGGAGCTTTGATTTGTCTGGTCTGATCTGATCTGATCTGATCTCATTTGTCTCAAACAATACAGAAGGCATATCAAATTTTAGACAGTTTATAAGTACAGAAATTACACTGATTTCTTTATTAGACTTCAATTCTACTTTTATAATTCATTATAGTAGCTCGTCTCCAAATTCATCAGATACAAGTACAATATGGTACCACTGTTGACAGACCAGGTACGGGTATAGTTGGATAAGACCACCCCATTACAGAATCCAAAAGGCTAAAATTCCATTAAAAATTTGGAAACTTTCTACATCATAAATAACTGCTATTAAGCATGTCCATTAAACATGACAAAGCTCATTCTGCCTAAAGAAATAGCATGTCTAAGAAAACGTTTTCTCACAGCTGAAGCTATGGAAAGCAACGTAAAATGCAAAAGTAGTGTGTAAATAACCACAAATATTTATGGTTGGAATCCATAAAGGCGGTCATGCATCCAAGCTTGTCACTTTCATAGAAATTCCCAGCTATTCAGAATTCCCATACCACTGGACAAATCCAGGTACTGACATTTGGAATTCTTCTAATTGCCAGAATAAAGCAAAGCAACACCCATAAAAAAATCATGGCTCAGTGGTTAGCACCGCTGCTTAACAGCACTAGGGGACCCGGGTTTGATTCCTGCCTTGGGCGACTGTCTACGTGGAGTTTGCACGTTCTCCCCACGTCTACACGGTTTCCCTCCGGGTGCTCTGGTTTCCTCTCAGTCCAAAGATGTGCAGGTTAGGTGGATTGGACATGGGAAATGCAGGGTTGAGGTGGGATGCTCTAATAGACGGGTGATGTGGACTCAATGGGTCAAATGGCCTGCTTATCTATAAATCTACAATAATTTTAAATTTCAGAGGTGTAAAGAATTAAGTGAGGAAAATATTAAAAACATAACCCTACAATTCTCTAAGTTAATAAAATCTGAAATTCCTCTGCTATTTTAGCAGAAGAATTGTTCTAGTTAAAGTGATTGGAAAGTTAGAAATTTTCACTGCTCAGAATGGAGAGCATGATCCTAGCAGTGCTATGGGACTCATGTCTTCCTTTCCTTCACTGCTGATACACATCAAGAATTCACCAATGGTCATTTCTTCCCCTTCCCATGTCTGTTTGCCATCAGGCGTCTTCTCTACAAGGATGTTAGATCAAAGGACTCCCCTATGCTGTTAAATTCCACGGTCCCATACCCATACAGCCAAATCCTTTATTGCTTTTTAAAAAAAAAGGCAGATGGAAGATTTTAAAAAGCAGAACATTAAGTGCCTTTAAAATTAAAAACACAATAATGTAATTACAAGCATTGTGGCTATACAAGAACAGATGCTTAAACTGAAAATCACATTTGCACATGATTTTACAAATGAACAATTAAGATGCAGGATTCAGAGTTACCATCTAAAGTATCAACTGACGTGCAAGTTCAAGTTCTCACATGGTGAGTTTGAACAAACGTCACTATCGGGAAGTGGGAGAGAAATGTTGACAGACCTTTCTCAAGCTATTCAAGTAAAATTCCCCAAATAAGTTGCTTGAAGAAGTAATTGATAACCTGTGTCCAGGTATTTTTAGCCCGGAGGAAAAGGTAGCAAGTATCCATGGCAAATACATGATACACTGACAATATTCTAACAAGCAGATCATTTTTTTGTACTGCACGATGATAATTTTTGAGCACCAATCATTTGTTTGTCAATGACTAAGGTTGTTTCACTGAACAAATAATTATTCAGAATGTCACCTAACATTACAACCCACATGGAGGCATCCATTTCCTGACTGATTGGAGGGACAATTTGCAGACAAGTGAAAAATATAAATAGGTAGATGAGTGGCTAAAATTAGTTACCCAATAGAGGAACCAGAAGGCAGAAATTAATGCCTGTTGAAATAATGCAATTTATTTAACATTGGTAAGCTATCCCACAACAGTGCAGATGTGATTTCCCAAAAGATGAGAGTCTTCAATGTTATACTTTTGGATTTATTCAGGAAGTTAAAAAAAAGTTAATACACAAAATTTAACAGTGAAATAATACAAGAATAAAATCAATAAATGACTTCAGACAAGGCTCTAAAGCACTCTCGTCAGAAACATAAGACGCCAGTGGTTGGTTAACCTAAAATTCATCTGAATAGCGATGTTTTGTAGCTATATCACCAGTCAGCTTTTCTTGGGCTTCCTTCATGGAAAACACCACTATATTTAAAAGCAGAAAAAAAAAGATTAATAAAGGTTAACACAAATCATAAGAGACAAAAATTGGTAACCTCAGTCTATTTGGAAAGAGTCCTCAAATGAGTAACATCTACTTTTAAAATATATTTTAGGATTTTCATCTTATGCACGCTACTAGTCAAATCTGATGAAAACTCTCCGTTCACCAGGTATTACAATTACATGGACATTTACAAGTTCCAAGAGCTTTTAAATGGCAGTTAAATTTGAAAGGTTAATTTGTTTGTTATTAAAAATTAATTTCAATTATCATCTTTTCCATCTTCTTGATCTATCCTTCTGGAAGAATGACCATTAGGGTGGGCCTTAAAATGCAAGGTTTCAAAGGGAGGATTAACAAGCTTTTTCATTGCACAGAGCATCCCACAGTCATATACTTTTAATTTATTCATGGGACATAGGCACTACTGTTTCATCATTTGTTGCTCTTGAACTTATTGGTTCTCTGGACCAGTTCAGAGGGTAGTTATAAGTCAACCACATTGCCGTGCTCTGGAGTTACAAATAGACCAGGCCAGGGAAGGATAGCAGTTTTCCATCTCATAAGGACATTAGTGAACCATATGGATTTTTAACAACACTTAACAGTGTCTTCATGCTGATCATTAGACTTTTACTCCAGATTTTTATTGAATTCAAATTCTGCCATCTACCATAGTGGCATTCGAACCCAAGTCCCCAGAAAATTACTCTGGGTCTCTAGTTACTTTTTAAATCCAGTGAAAATAAGACAACACCGTCCTCTTCCCCTACGCCCTCCATGTTCAATGTTGACATGTAAACACATTCTAGAAGGTAAGCTCTGATCAAGAGTTGGAACTACTGGATCATTTTATTCGCACAGCTTTAAACTTCTTCTCCCAAACTAGTTGAAACTACTAACTTACCACAGGTCGGGATCAAACCATTTTTAAAAATTAATTCATAGGATGTAGGAGTTGCTGGTTAAGACAGCCTTTATTGCCTATCCCTGATTGCCCTGAAAAAGGCAGAGATAAATTGCCTCTGCGTCAACACCTATATGGCGCATTTGCCAACTGGGCCACTGGGGATGTTTTACATGGTTTCTTTGACATTTCATCATATGTAGTCCAACTTCTTAAAAAAAAAAGCTGTCAAATCCAGGGAGGACAAAATTCTCTGGAGTAAACAACAACGTCAAATAATTCCATCAGTGGCACATGATGGTCTCTCAAGTCTCCCATACAGCCATCCTATAACTGACCTGACTACTATTCAGCAACTCATTTTTTGGTAACATGGATTAATCTCGAACTCAACCAGAAGATAACCTATGGTAGCACCTAATTTTGTTGGCCACTCACAAATGCCACGGAAATACTATTGAGTTTTTTAAAAAATGTGGATAAAGGACAATCATATGTTAGCTGAATTAAACTTCCTGTAAATCAACCATGCAGCAGCATAGAGGACAGCGAAAAGTCCTAGATGGCTCATGGCACTACGGTGAGAGCATATCGGTTTTCACTAGGACCAGAAAATTTATGATATAATCAAAATCTCAACTACTTCAGTCACCTCCAAATATTTATTTTATCGTGAGTTCCATGATGACATTCCACCTAATCTGACTACGAACATAGTACTGTTACGTTGTTGATTTAAGGTGTACAGGTTGCTGAATTTTACTCAGTATATGGGCAGATGTAAAATTACATCTTTGAATTAGGAAAAGAGAATGTTCAAAGTGGCCTCATGTTACCCAATTCCTCAATAAAGAGTTGAGTAGGGGCACTAACATACTTGCCAAAAAAAAAAAATAATAATAAACAAATACATAATTAATAAACAGGGCAGATGATGGTTTAGTGGTATTATCACTGGGCTGTTAATCCAGAGACCCAAGTATGGTCCGGGCACCTGTGTTCGAATCCTGCCTTGGCAGATGGTGGAATCTGAATTCAATGACAATCTGGAATTAAGAGTCTAATGATAACCATAGATCCATTGTTGATTGTTGGAAAAACCCATCTGGTTCACTAATTTCCTTTAGGGAAGGAAACTGCCATCTTACCTGGTCTGGCCTACATGTGACTCCAGACCCACAGCAATGTGGTTGACTCTTAACTGCCCTCTGGGCAATAAATGCTGGCCTAGCCAGTGATGCTCTCATCCTGTGAATGCATAAATAAAGAAAACGATAAATAAACAAACAAGTTTGATCACAAAGTTGAGCACTCAACAATTAAGGCAGCAAAACATTAAATCTTTTCCTAGAATCACTCCTGCTTTCCCAAACAAAGCCAGCAAAAGTAGCAAGCTAGGAGAAGTTTGCAAATCTTCTTGACCACTCTCCCAGGTTCATAGAATGATAGAATCCCTACAATGTGGAAACAGGCCCTTCGGCCCAACAAGTCCACACCGAACCTCAGAGCATCCCACCCAGACCCATCCCCCTGTAACCCACCTAATCTACATCTCCCTGAACACTACGGGCAATTTAGCATGGCCAATCCACCTAGCCTGCACATCTTTGGACTGTGGGAGGAAACCGGAGTACCCGGAGGAAACCAACGCAGACATGGGAAGAATGTGCAAACTCCACACAGACAGTTGCCCGAGGCTGGAATCGAACCCGGGTCCCTGGCGCTGAGGCAGAAGTGCTAACCACTGTACCACCGTGCTGCCGGGGGTTGAATGTGTAACTAATTAATTAAACAATCACCAAGAATCAAGGCACGGACACAAAAGGAAGAAAAAAAAAATGTTTCTATGAAGATACAACTGAACATTAGCTGTGTACTTACCTTGGTCAGCAGAACTGTAGAAATATTTGTATTTGGGATTTCCATTTTGATTAATGATCTCTGGATGAACTTCACCACTGGGATCTACAATGTAATCAATAGTAAAACAAAATTAAAGAGAAATTTAGCATTACTTAATTATCAACAGGCCAATAACAATAGTTACTTGCTAGAATTTGATTATTGTAACATTTACTCTTCAAAGAAAATAGGAATATTTAATCCGTCCACTCGCCTATATTTATTTGTTAGTATGTCCCCAAATGTTAGTAAACCAATAGCAGATTTTAAAAATCTCATCGGTTTAACTATTAGTTCCTATAACTACCTGATATTATGGTAACAAAGCTGAATGCAATTTGGTAAATTTTATTCATGACTTCTTGTTCTAGAAAGTTGATTTGTGTTTACTACGGAGCCATTAATCATAAATATCCAAATATCAGTTTTGCTGAGTCAAACTCCAATTAACAGCATATCAAAATTATCTTCACCACATGAAGAAGCAATAATTAAAAACAAAGACTCAGTCCCATTTGCTCAATGGCAACCATGAATAGGCAATAAATTATTACTTCGATAAGGATTCTCATACCACCGTAATGAGTAAGGAGTCATCCAATGAATCTTCCATGCACAAGTGCATGGAAATTTGAAGTCTACAAGATTTGAGAAAGAAGCTGGAATTCAACTTATCATGAAGATAGTGGAAGTAAACATGACAATAAAATTTCAAAAGGTAAATGGATAGACACTTGAGACAAGTAAACTTAGAGCTGCAAGAATTGAATAGGGGAATGGGGCTGATGTGACTTGCTCTCCAAAAAAAAATTTTAAAAATGTACATGATGGGCCAAATGGCCTCCTTCTGTGCCGTAATGACACAAAAGCATGGTAAATTAATATTGGAAAAACAAGCAAAAAACTCTGCATTGAAAAAGGATGAACTTTAGAGCCAAGTGCTGGTCAACAGTGTTATCATCGCTTTTAAAGATTAACAATCAAGTCCACCCAACATCACAAGATCCAGTAGTGGAGTAATTAAGTCAAGAAAGTTGGTTAAAAATAAGTTTTATTTTCTACATATACAAGTCGTAATTGTAGGCCTAAGTTTAACAGATCATTCTGCATGGTATTATAAATCATTGAAGTTTAGAACTGCAGGGAGCTCACACAGATCTTGACAAACCCGCACCTCCACCCCCAGAATTCCTCACTTCAACGGTGCTAATGCAGAAACATGCCAAGCTGAAGCCTTAGATGATACTTTTTTTCTTACCCAAAAATAAGATCCTAGGTATGTAGCCTCCATCTGGGCTAAAGGCTGAATCATTTGGCTCCTCCTCATCCTACAAAAACAGAAATGAATATTCTCATTTTTTTCCACTACTCAATATTAAATAGCACATTATTTTAAACCCATACAACATTGTGTGAGCAGATTTAGAAGAACATTGCATTCAGTCTTCATCCTCTTACAAGGCAAGTGATCTTGAAACTTCTCCAGAACTTTGAGGAGGGTTACAAAAGTGATTCCCTTCTCAAATTATCTTCGCAACTCAGGCTTAAAGACCAGGTCTATTGACTTTAGGAATGCTGAAATTGGGGTGAGAAAGAATTGTAAAAGGCCTATATTATGTTCCCATTGATACATAGGAGAGGACAACAGGTGACAGACAGTTATTTATGGGCAATATATTGGGCAGTCTTCAGCTCACCTACGAAACAAGTTGTAGACATATGCAGTGAATGCCTATTGCTTACATAATCTCAAAGAAAAACAGCTGGTTAATTCCTGACTGAAGAAAATCAGCAAAACATCACACCTGATAAAATTGGTAGGTAACTAACAAGTGATATAAACGTGACTTCTTAGACCAGTTTTGATTGCTGAAGAAGTTCAGAGAATCATAGAATCCATATAGTGTAGACGCAGGCCATTCAGCCCATCTAGTCCACACCGACCCTCTGAAGAGCATCCTACCCATTCCCAAGCCCCTACCCTATTCCCGTAACTCTGGATTTCCCATGGCTAATCCACCTAATCTGCGCATCTTTGGACTGTGGGAGGAAACCGAGCACCCGGAGGAAACCCTTGGAAGTGCGGTGAGAATGTTGCCTGAGGGGTGGATTCGAACCCAAGTCCCTGATGCTGGGGCAGCAGTGCTAACCAACGAGCCACTGTGCCACCCCGAGAAGAATTCTCCTCATCTTTTTTCACTACTTGGCCTTGTTTTAAAAAATATATTATTTTTCAGGTCTATTTTTTAAAAATCTCTCCCTGGAAGTTAAATAGCAGCTACATGATAGTGGGTTCCTAATTCAGACGCTTCAGACATTATGGCGTTAATCAGGCAATCTTGTAGGATTGGATAACAGTTACCACTCCACCCTTTTCATCTGGCTAAGCGACAGATATTCTTACCTCTATATTCACCATAACAAAGTTATGAGCCATTTCTGAGATTTCCTTAGAATCAGCAAACTTTGGTTTCAGCGCTAATAGAAAAAGAAGTGAAAAGAAATTACTCAATTCCACCTCTCCACAATGGCAAGGAATTTAAGAGCATCCAGAGTATTTGTCCATTTATTTGGCTTATATTTGAAAGAAATAAATTTTAAATCTTAAATCAGATTCTAAACAAACATTGGAACCCACCTTTACATGCACCACACCAGCTTTTGTGTATAATCAACATCAATGGTAAGCCACTAAAAAAATAAAACAGTAGCCTTTTAATGTCTTGTTGAGTAAATATTTCCTGACTAATCACCATAATGGCTACTTTTTCATATGAATATCAAGCTAAAATAAATTTTGAAATAACGCAAGCTAAAAATTAAATCAATGTCACTGAGCAAACAAATGTCACAATTTGTACAAGTGTCATGACTATTACTTTGCAACCATTGTTGCTTTATCTATCCAGGAGGACACAGTAGACATTGTTAATAACAGACGCTATTTATCAGGTGTTAATCTGGACATTGAAAGCCACTGGCAAACTATTCTGCCTACTCAACAGCCAGTCAGATATAGAGACAGACACAAACCTTCTTTGAAGGGTCACTGAGTAAGGAGCAGTATTGGGAACCATGGTTAATTCTTCTCTCTCAATCTAGGAGCACCAAGGTCAACTGCAAACTCAGTTTAAACAAAAATCAAGCAGGTCAGCAAAGTTCAGAAATTGAACCTTCTTTGTAGGATTCAGTTGTACACTGCCTTTACTAGTTGAATCCATTGGAGGACCTCATAGCTAGTACTTTAACGACTAAAATACCAGATGCCAGTCCAGTGATAATGGGTGTTAGCAAATACATTAGATGATGAGAAAAGGCTGCATATCACAGCTGTTCATGCCACAGACTCTCTGCATTACAAGTGATGTATGTCTTGGCATGCAGTTTTATTTACATGTGGAAAATTGCCCGGATATGTCCTGTACATGTTGAGCAGGGCAAATCCAACACAGCCAATTATCACCACATCTTTCTACTCTCAATCATCAAAAAGTGATGGAAGGTGTCATCAACATTGCTGTCAAGCAGCTCTTGCTTAATGATAACCTGTTCACTGACACTCAGTTTGTGTCCCATTAGAGCCACTCAGGTCCTGACTCATTACAACCTTGGTTCGAAAAAGGGACAAAAGATGTTGTGGTTGGTTTGCTTGCCGAGCTGGTTCGTTGTTCTGCAGACATGTCATTACCCTGCTGGGTAACATCATCAGCACAGCCTCCGATGAAGCACTGTTGTGTTTTCCTGCCTGATATTTAAACTCTGGGGTCTGTTGAGCTGGGTTACCACACTTCCGGTTTTCCTTTGCAGTGGACTATATCTAGGGTCTAGCTCTATGTGTTTGTTGACGGCCTTCTTAGCGGAGAACCAGGTCAGTAGGAATTCCTGCGCTTCTCTCTACTCTGCTTGTCCCAGGATCCTGGTGTTGTCCCAATCAAACTGGTGGTTTTTGTTATCCATATGGATGGAGATGCACAAGTATTGGTCGTGTCTTTTTGTTCCTAGTTGGTGCTCGTGTACTCTTGTGGCTAAATTTTCTTCCTATCTGTCCAATGTAATGTTTGTCACAGTCTTTGCAAGAAATTTTGTATTATAACGTTGGTTCTGTCCATAGTGGCTAACAGGTCTTTGGTTCAGGTTAACAGTTGGCGTAGGGTTGATGTGGGTTTTGTGTGCTACTCTGATGCCCAGTGGTCGTAGGAGTCTTGTGGTCAGTTCAGATATGTTCTTGACGTATGGTAGCATGATGAGTGTATTAGGGCGTGCAGTATCTTCCTGTTGTTGTTTGTGTAATAGGCATTGCCTGACCCAGTTGTTCGGGTATCTGTTGACCTTGAATACTTGGGAGGAGGTACTCTTCTTCTTTTTGGCATAGGTCCGGGTTGCTGCAGTGTGTTGTTGCCCGTTTAAGTAGTATTTTCATGTAACTTTGTTTGTGACTGTTGGGCTGGTTACTGTTGAAATTCAGCACTTGGTCAGTGTGTGGGGCTTTTCTGTGTACTTTCGTCAGGAATTCCCCGTTGGTCCTGCGTTCTACCATGATGTCCAGGCATGAGAGCTGTTTGTTTTTTTCCTCTTCCCTGGTAAATTTGATCCCAGTGAGATTGTTGTTTATTAGTTGGTATATCTCCTCTAGTTTGGTCCTAGGACAGGCAAAGCAGGGACAAGCACGGGAATTTCTAGAGGCCTGGTTCTCCACTACAGCCATCCAACACAGAGCTAGACCCTATATATACACTCCACTGCAAGGGAAAACCAAAAGTGAGGTAATCCAACTCTACGGACACCAGAGTTTAAATACCAGGTGGGAAAACACAACAGTGTTTCATTGGAGGCTGCACTGATGATGTTACCCAGCAGGGTAATGAAACATCTGCGGAACAATGAACCAGCTCGGCGAATGAACCAACCACAACATCCACAATCTGAGCTACAAATTTCTCACAAACCTTAGGGACAAAGGAGCTGAATTCCAGAGGTGAGGCGAGTGTGGCTGTCCTGGACATCAAAGCAACATTTGACCGAGTGTGGCTCAAGGAATTCGTACAAAATTGGAGTCAACGGTTATTGGGGTGGGGGGTATTTCCTACTCTGGTTGGAGTCACACTTGGTATACGGAAATTAGTTGTGGTGGTTAGAGTCTGTCACTTCTCTAAAGGAATTCCTCAGGGTAGTGTCCTTGGCCCAACCATATTCAGCTGCTTCAAAGATCTTCCCTCCATCATAAAGTGAGAAATGAGAATGTTCACTGATGACTGCACAATGCTTCAAAAAGGAGCTGCTGGTCCATGTCCAAATGCACCAAGATCTGGACAATATTCAGGCTTGCACTGACAAATGGCAAGTAACATTCATACCAACAAGTACCAGACAATGACCATCTCAAACAAGAGAATCTATCACCCCTTCACATTCATTTGCAACACCACCTGATTCCCCCACTGTTAATATCCCAAGGATTACCAGTCACCAGGAATTGAATGGGACTAGTTATATAAACACTGTGGCTACAAGGTCAGAGGCTAAGATTCTTGTAGCAAGGAACTCACCTTGTGACTCCCCTCAGCCTGACCACCATCTACAAGGCACAAGTCCAAAGTGTGATGGAATACGCCCCACTTGCCAGATGAGTGCAGCTCCAACTCACAAGAAGCTTGATATCATTCAGAATGAAACATGTCCACTTGATTGGCACTACATTCACAAGCATTCATCCCCTCCATCACCGGTGCTCAGTAGCAACAATGTGTTCTATTTACAACTTGAACTGCAGAAATTTACTAAGGTTCCTTTGACAGCATTTTCCAAACGTATAATCATCATCTAGAATGTCAGTGGCAGTAGATATACGGGAACACCAACACATGAAAGCTCCCCTCCGAGGTGATCACCATCCAGAGTTGGAAATATATTGTTGTTTCTTCAGTACTGCAGGGTCAAAATCCCGGAACTCCATCTCCAACGTACTACGGGCGTACCTACACCAAACAGACTGCAGCAGTTAGAAGGCAGCTTACCACCACCTTCAAGGGGAACTAGGGATAGGAAATAAATGCTGGTCCAGCCAATGAAGTCCATGGCCCATGAGTGAAGTAAATTGTAAAAGTAGTTTAGAAAGGCAGTTACATCAAAAAGTCAACTTGAAAATTATGCTCCTATGTATTTTCCCCTGCTGACAAGCAAAAGCAAAAGCAAAAGCTACATTGAAAGACATCGCTAGGGCATTGCATTACAACAAAACTGTCATGGTGCCACAGAATGATAAAATAGAGATTCATATGTTCCTTTGGCAACTAGCAGCTGAACCAGCCAAACCAAGAAAGTTATGGATTTCGACTCTAGCCTGTTCAGTCTATTTGTCCACTCAAACATACCACCCGAATTCCTTTCTCTGGGACACCACTATTGGCACTGATGACCCACAGACCCTGTGTCAACAGTTTGCAAAAAAAAACTGCTCAGTTATCTTTATATACAGACAAATAGTCTACTGGCATTCAGAGTTGTTGCTTAAACACAAAGTAACTTTTTTGGAACTGGTATGCAGTTGCTGTCTGATTTGTGCATAAATGGTAGTAAATGTCAACAATCTCACAGACTTACTGTTTTTACAATAAATTTGCCTACTGCAACTATTGCTGTATGAGTGCAAAACAGGTCTCCTTTTACAAAGGTAAATACTGACACCTTGTGGCAAGATACCTGCAAAAATGAGCTCTTTAAAACTGCAGGAAATAATACTTTCAGGAAAGGCATGATAAAATAACCAGTTCTACTGGTTGCAACTCTTCCTAGAGATAGACTAAATTATTAAACTCAAACACCTACATGTTCCACAAATTTGGCAATGAATCAAACATAACGAAGACAGCATGCTGACAGAAAAGTTATACCTGATTATGTTTCATTTAAGAATTACATTTTTATAAAATCACATTAAGACATACTGACAAATTTTGCTCTTTGATATTCCAAGAGGAAGAGAGTCAATTGCCAACTAAATATACAAAGTTTAAAATCACAGATTCCAAGTCACAAGCTGAACAGGAAGTTTCTACTCAGCTTTGCATACCTGGCTTCTGCTTCTTTTTTTCCATCATCCAGTGTTCTCCAGTGAATGTGGTCTCCAAACCCTGAAAAAAAGGTTGTCATTCCTGTGAATTCCCATCTCTGACAAATTGTTAGAGACAAACGTCGACACCTAAAACCTCATACAATGTTATTTTAATTTCTCAATTCAATGGAATTGGATCATTTAAATTTGTTTGGTATTCGTTATACACACTACCGTGCGCGTAAAGATTGTGTTTTTCATTGGCAATTCTTCAGGGTGTGGGACACTGGAAGACAAAAATGGAAATTAAGTAAACTATTTGCTGTTTATAGATACGCTGGACCTGTTATACATCAAGGTCTTCTCCATTTCCGGTCAACGACTGGGTCCAAAACACAAAAATAGAGGTATTATAGACCAGAATGACTAATCGAATGCAAGAAAGATTGTCAGAGGAAACGGATTAACTATAGCCAAACGATTTTTTGAGTTTCCACGGTTTTCAATTAAACAAGATCAAAGCCATCGTTTAAATAAAACAAATATAAACTAACCCACCTCTTCCAAGACTTTCGCTCCCATATGTTTGAAAGCAGATCAGAAGAATGCAAAAGACGACGAGATACAAGTCCCTTTGCAGATTCATTATCAGCTCCGATCCTCTCATCAGTAACACAAGGAAGCCAGAAGCTCAGAGGAAGTGACGCATCAGCAGTTCTTACTATTTCTGACGCATCAGAACGCCGTGTAACCCATTCTGTTTTAAATTGTGAGATAACAAGGTGTAGAGCTGGATGAACACAGCAGGCCAAGCAGCATCAGAAGAGCAGGAAGGCTGATGTTTCGGGCCTAGACCCTACGGCTATACAAGCCTTCAGTTCAACGCATCGTCCAAATGGTAACATCTCAAGATATAAATGTACTGTACAAGAATTAATTAATAAATTCTATAGCTAGGTGCTTTGCTCGTGAGATATTTACTTGATATACACAAATCTCCGCATGGTAATATTAAGCAACATATTAAAATCAGCAACTTGTTTTTATACGGTCACTTTAACGTAAAACATCCAAAGCACAGCCACCAATGGTGGAACAATTAAAATCAAGATGATCCAGAGACCTGGGCTCGCTGCATGTGATTCAGCAAGTCAGAAGATTGTGCGTTCAAGGCCCACTCCACAACCTGCTGTGTTTCCTACATCTAAGTTTAAACAAAAGCATGAGACTGGATGGGCTACCCAGCAACTACTTCGGCATGGACATGACAACATAAAAACCAGCCTTGTCAATCCTGCAAAATCCTCTTTACTAAGATCCAGGGGTATGTGCCAAAACTGGGAGTGCTGTCCCACAGCAGTGAAGCAGCATCTTCACCTGAAGTACTCACAGAATCATACCTTATAGATAATGTTCCAGATGCCACTGTCAACATGCCTGTCCCACTGACAGAACAGACTCACCAGAAGTGTAAACAATGGAAAGATTTGCCCTGGCAGTCCTCAAGATTGACTCTGTACCCCATGAAGTCTCTTGACATCAGACCAAACATGAGCAAGGAAACAGCCTTCTGATTACCACCAACTAACCCCATCCCTTCTCCAGCACTCCTCTGCTAATGAATGAGTACTCCTTTATGCTGAAAACTAGTTGCCACTTGAAAGGAAGCATTGAGAGTGACAATGTCATAGAATATATTCTCAGTCAATTGCCAAGAGTGATTTGGTAGCAGCACCATTGCCCAAGCTGGCTGAGTCCTGAAGAATATTACAGATCGACTGGGTCTGCGGCAGGTGGTGGGGGAACTAACAGGAGGAAATAAACTACCTAACCTCATCTTCACCAATATAGATTTTTCTCCGCCCTATCTGACATTAAAAACTGTAATGCGAAGCCTGATCTTCACCAACTTGTCTGTTGCAGGTGTCCATAATGACAATAATGATAGGAGTGACCACAGTCATTCTAGAAACAAAAGTCGCTGCGTTCACATTATGGATATATTGCATTGTGTTGTGTAAAGCTCATATTATGCTAAATAGGACAGATTTCTAGTGACTCAAAACTAAACACCTTGGGACTATGCTGTGGGCCATCAGCAGCCACAATTTGTAATCTCATAGCTAGGCAAATCCCTCACTCACTATTACCATTAAGCCAGGAGGTCAATTCTGCTACAAAGAAGAGGGCAGGAAGGCACACCAGGAGCAGCACCTGGCTAATTTAAAAATGAAGTCTCAAAGTGATGAAGCTATAACACAGCACTACAAATAGCAGTAGTAGCAAGAAATTTACAGTTAAGAGAGCCACAACTTAGATCAGATCTGACACCAGAATCCTAGGACAGGCCAAACAGACAAGCATGGGAATTCCTAGAGGCCGTGTTCTCCACCAAGAAGGTCATCAACAAACACATAGAACTAGACCCTATATACACACCACTGCAAAGGAAAACTAGAAATGTGGTATTCAAATCCAACGGACGCCAGAGTTTAAATACCAGGCGGGAAAACAGCAGCTCTTCATCAGAGGCTGTACTGATGATGTTACCCAGCAGGGTAATGAAACGTCTGCGAACTAACGAAACAGCTCGGTGAGCAAACCAACTACAGCACCCACAACCCAAGCTACAAATCTACTCAAGAACCTTAGAGTACTGTATGAAATTAAAAAGGCAGAATTAAAGGCATTGTATCTGAATGCATGCAGCATTCACAACAAAGTTGACAATTTGAAAGCACAAATTGAAATAAATGAGAATGATTTAATTGCCATTCAAGTATTGTAGCTATAGGGTGATCAAATATGGGAAAGGAATCAGATCACCTTGAAGCTCATTGAATGGCAGATCAAGCTCAAGGGAACAGGTGGCCTACTCCTATTTCATATGTTTGTGTGATAGCATTCATTATCACTACTCTAAGAATGATACTAATGTATTATCAAATAAGTATTGTAAACCTTTAATTCAGATTGTTTGTTAAGCACATCTAAAAGTTGCAACATAAATTATAGTTAGAGGGTGTATGGTAGATTTTTGACTCACTTCTGCAGAAAATCAATTAAAATAAAAATTGAATAGCTTCTTTTATGGGTAACTGATTTGCAATGCCAATTTAACCAAGATTGCAGGTGGAAAATCCAATCCAGACTTTGAAGATGATCTGATGAATGTGGAACTGAGAAGATGTTTATTGTGTCAATTCATTCGTATAGTTGTGAACTTAAAAAGAAAATTGGTTTATAGATGGCAAGGAGCTAAAATATGGGCTTTATATGCTGGATAGTTCCTGCCCATATTAAAATTTGGAATAATAGATGATTTATATTCTTATTTAGCCATTACATTTGAATTCCTTTGATGATTTTATTCAGTTCAATTTAACCTTAACTGTTAGATTCATGAATGTTAAATACCAACCACATATCAAGAAATTGTTAAATCTAGCCGGAGCAAATTGTCTGGTAATCAGTAAATTGAAGACAGAGGGTGCAGTGGTAGTGTTTCTACCTTTTGGCCAGGAGGCTTGTGTTCAAGTCCCACCTGCTCCAGAGGTGTGTCATACATCTCTGAACAGGTTGTTTAGAAAGTATAAATTGAAGACAGCAATTTGGCAAAGTGGTGACAAATAAGTAGCACTCAGACATCAATATTTTCAATGCTAGCTCTTGAATTGGCGTCATGTACTGAATTTCATCACAGTCTAGCTAAAAGAACAATTGTACATAATTGCAATGATAACTTGAGCAATTATAAAGCTAAGAGAAAGTTACAAGGTGTGTGAGTGAAACATACCATCATTTTGTTGGTAGTTATACCATAGATAAAGCAGTATTGAAATTTGGCCGTCTTTTTCACGCTGTGGTGGCAGCCTTCAGATGTGAGATGATGGTTTAGGCCATGGTGGTCTACTCAGCGTTAAGCATACCCCAGTAGCTCAGGGGCACCTCTCTGGCATTGTAGTCTCTGCAGTATTTGTTGCAGCTGAAGACAGTGGACTGAGAAGATGCACAATTCATTGGCCTCTGTTTTCTTTGGGACTTGTCAGCCTTTTTTGTTTCTGCACAGCTTTTTCAATGCCCTTCTAAACATTCAGTCATCAGTGTTGTATCCTAGTAGTCAGTGTCAATGTCCACCATCATCATATCTCACTTGTAAGTGTCCATTTAGCAGAGGAATGGACACTGAGGTTGTGATCCAGTGATCAGTTTACTGTACGGAAGATTTTTTTGGATGTACACCTGCCATTAATCCAATAAATGTAGCCAAACGAGTGTAGATGTCATGGAGCATGCCTAAGGTCAACTATCTCTTTCACGTATTTCATAAATTTAGCATTTTTTGCAAAACTAAAACTAATCAAGATCTGCAGTAAATGAAAATTATAATTGTAATATTAGTGAATCAAAATACATCTCTTTCCAATCATTCCATAAATATACTTAGTGGATCTTTTTTGAATTGATCAATAGAATTGTTCATTATAGTAACAGCAACATAAATTACAATTTAAGTGTGAAGAAATGATGTTGCATCTTAACCTGCATTCACATTAGCATTGCTAATCTATATACTTCCATTGATTAGTTGTGATTCATGAGACTATTACAACAACTTGAGTAATTTAGTCCATTTCTTCTGATTGCTTATGTGTGTAATCAGTAACAAAGCAAAAGTGGCAATGGACTTAATTCTAGTTTTGCTGTTCGTACCCATAACCCATGACTCCCTATAAGTCAAATATCTGTCTGTCTCAGCCTTGCATATATTAAATTAGCCTCCACAGATGTCTGAGGTGGGGAATTCCAAAGATTAACAGCACTCTGATAAATTCCTCATCATTATAATAAATGGGAGTCTTTTTATTTTGATATTGTATGCTCTAGTTCTAGATTCCCCCAATTCCTATTTTTTTTTAACTAAACTAATAAAGGTCTAAACTTCTCAATTTCTCCTAATAAAGCAACCCAACATCCCAGTAATCAACCTAGTAAACCTTTTCTGAACAACCTTCAATGCAAGTCTCCTAAAATAAGGAGACCAAAACTGTACATTGCATGATAGGTGTGGCCTTGCCAATACCCTATACAGTTGTTACAAGACTGCCTTTGCAGTAAGTCAGTATTCAATTTGCCTTCTTAATTACTTGCTGAACCTGTTTGCTGACTTTTTGTGACTCAGGAATGAGGATACCCACATCATTCAGTATTCTAGACAACAAGGTGCAGAGCTGGATGAACACAGCAGGCCAAGCAGCATCGTAGGAGCAGAAAGGCTGACGTTTCGGGCCTAGACCCTTCATCAGAAAATGAATTCTTTCTGCTCCTATGATGCTGCTTGGCCTGCTGTGTTCATCCAGCTCTGTACCTTGTTGTCTCGGATTCTCCAGCATCTGCAGTTCCTACTATCTCTCATTCAGTATTCTGTGGCCTTTCTTTATTTAAATGGCATTCTGCTTTTCTATTCTTCCCACCAAAAAAGACAACCTTGCATTCTTCTACATTATGCCCCATCTGCCAGATTTTTGCCCATTGACTTAACCCACCTATACCCCTTTATTGACTCTTTATGTCCAACAAACTTGCGAATTAGTTTGGCCCCCTTGAGCAAGCTTCATGATTTGGTAAGATCATGGCTGATATAATTATGCTCTCAACTCCACTTTT